TACATTTTTTGAAGAGCTACCCTGATATCTGTTTAAAGACACATGCTGTAACAGTCGTATTTAATGTTGAGATATATTGTCGTTGTGCTTTGTGGTTTTCCAATGATAAGTTATAGTTGTGGTTTTGCTTTTTGGGTTTTTTTACATGAGTGGAGATGGCTTCACCTCACGGGCTTTGCATGCAATGTATTGCACCTTTTGCAAATGCGCTTTCAAAGTGCTGATCTCTGCTGGGGTTTTTTGGCCTGTGTTGCCATATTCTTCTTAGATAAACAGTCTTGTGGCTTCAGGAAGTCACCACATATGTTGTGAGACACTTTGGAGAGGTGCTGGTGGCATTCAGGAGAAGCATGACTGCTCTGGGGGTGAGGGAGGTATGCTCAGCTTTAACAAGAAAAAGTTCATCTGGTCTAAAGCCAAGGGCAGCAGTCCTCAGAGTCATCAGCGACTGAAACTACAATACCTCTCTGACTCTACAATAAGTCCACCCATTCTGGAAGAGGCCGTTGCCATGGCCAGAATATGTGGGACTAATTATCCATTTACTCTTCTCACCAGTAATTGTGGTTGTTACTTGCCCTGGAATGGAAGGAAGAAAGGTAGTAGAGGAGGAATGAGCACCATCCATTCAAACTTTCCATCGTTTGTGGAGTTGCTCTGCCTATTAGGATTTTGAACTTGGGAATCACATGCATCTTTCACTGGTGTGATCTTTTTTTTCCCCTGATAGATAAGGGCATGACAGGAATTTCATCCTCTTCTCCTCACCAGACCCCCTATATAGAAGCTGGGGAGTAAAAGAGGCCAAGAGGAAATAGTTGGCTGTTTTCCTCCCCTTGAAGGATACTGTTAAGGAGCGTGTAGCATCAAGTGGGATAAAACAGCAATGCATTTATAAAGGGGGGTGTTGGAGAACTAAGAAATGGTTAGTGAATGGGGACGTATTGGAATGAAATTACTAAATACAGAATTTAGCATTACAGTGAAAGGAATGGAAAGTCATCAATGTTCTCAGTGAAAGTATTAACTTAGAGCTAAAGAAACTATCATGAAGAATAAGGAGATGTGTTTAGATAATTAGAAATAAAAAACTGAGACCTAACCTGGTATCAATGAGGTGTTTCTCATGGAAGCTACATACAGAAGATTCATTTCTTTAACATCTCTGAAGAAAATAAGACAAACGTCATGTACCAGAAATCACGGAAAAAAACACATCCATTATCAGTTGTACATGAAGGAAATCCTTTCCTGCATTTATTCTTGCATTGAAATCCTGATTTCGTTTGGGAGACTGCTTCAAGACTTTTCTAGATTTCTGTTGCCATAGCAAATTTAGTTCTAGCTGCTAATGAAATTATCAGGCAAACTTCCTCCTAGAAAACACGTTATCCCACAAATGAACATGGGATTAACCTCCTGATAAGTAACACCAAGATATTTCTTTGGCCTTCCCTGCCCTTTGCTGAGTATGGATCGGAA